ATTGTCAAGTAAATCTTGGGCATTTAATGCAATTTTGGCACGACATTTATGAAACCTTAATTTTTTTTTGTAATTACTTCCGAACAAATCTTATGTATTTATTCTTGGATTATGCAAATCTTTTTTTCACCATAATTTACTTATTGGAGAATTTAATCTACAAATTTTTTTGTGTGGATTTGTTTGTTAAGTAATAAATTAATCTATATTAGATTCGAAATTAAAAAAAAATGCTAATGGTTGAGAGAAGAGATTGTGGATAATTTTACTTAAAATAAACAAGGATATTTTGGTAATTTTACAAAGACGAAAAGTGGGAAGGGGTTACAAATTGGAACAGTAAGGGTCACAAATTAGTTTTTTTTAAAAAGGGGTCAAAAATTCAGATGAGTTATATAATGGGGTTAGAAACCCCAATTTCCCTCAGTACATCCTTTACCAAATCAGAAAATAGTGCAAATGGGTCTTCAAGATTAAATGGAACACAAGTGACTTTATATCAGATTATAAAGCTCGTCTTGTGGCAAAAAGGTTTCATCAGATAGCAAAAATTTATTATTATGAAACTTTAAGCCATATCGTAAAACCAATCACTATTAGAGTTATTTTTACTTTAGCCCTTGCAAATGGTTGGGAGCTTGGTCAAACAGACATCAACAATGCGCCTTGTTACATGGGCTATTACATGAAACTATCTTAATGGACCAACCACCGGACTTTATCTATCCAAATTTTAAACACTTAGTCTGTAGACTTCGAAAGGCTTTATGCAGCCTCAAACAAGCCTCTAGAGCATGGTTTGAAAGGTTAAACACATGTTTCTAAACACACTTGGTTCATTGGATCTAAAGTTTGATCCTTCTTTATTCTACACAGTTACAAATGGTCACACATGCTACATTTTAATTAATCTATGTTGATGACATAGTAATGTTCTTCCTCAGACATTCAAGGCTGATCTCTACACTTAACAACAGGACTTGGGTAAGCTCAGCTATTTGTTTTCAAGGAATTGAAGTATTTTTTCCCAATTCTACTAGTCTATATATTTCTCAATCTAAATATATCACAAACCAATTACAAAGTGCTTTAAGCCAATGACATAGCTACCTCTATGTTTAGTGGCTCAATATGATCCGCAAGGCAAGGGGATTTATTGCCTGATCCCTTCTTATACCACAGTGTGGTGGATGTCCTACAATATGTGACTCTTACTAGACTTGAAATTTTCTTCCCCATTAACAAAGCATGTCAGTTCATGCATACACCGACAATTACCCACTGGCAACTAGTAAAAAGAATACTCAGATATCTCAACCGTTCTTTTGACCATGGCCTGTTACTATAGAAACCTACTCAAATGCTACCCAAAGGCTTGTCGATTTCGCAAAATTGTGTGACAATCTTATTTCGGTTCATCTCAGCTCCAATCATGTGCTACATTTCAAGACAAAACACATTGAAATAGATATCTATTTTTCGGGGACTTGGTAATTTTAGGGCAGACTAGAGTTCAACATTTACCTTTGGTGGCTCAAATTGCTGACGTGCTCACAAAGCCCGTCCCCTACTCGATTTCATAATCTAAAGAGCAAGCTCAATGTTGGTATTCCTATTACCATTGGCTTGAGGGAGGCTGTGAAGACTAATCATTAGTGGGCTTTTGATTTCTTTTGTTAGTTTAAAATAACAAAATATTGGAATCTGTTTTAGTTTAGTTAAAGGTCCAAGAGTCTATACATGGTCTTTTATCATTTTTGTATTGAGTGTGGATTTTGACATAATAGAAAATCCCGTTTTATGTGCATTTTCTAGCTGGCTGCCATCTAAGAGCTTGTAAAACTTTAAATCACATCTATATCAAAATCCCTCGAGTACAAATAGAATTTAAAAAAAAAAAAATCAGTAAATTTATAGTAAATTTATGTTTAAAATGAAAGATCATAATAGAATATGCCTCAATAGTTATTTCTTCATTCCAACTCTGATGACATCAACATCAACCCAAGTACTAAAAAAATGAAAAATAAAAAATAAAAAATAAAAATATCAAAACCCATGAATTTTCCCACTTCCCGGCTCACACACTGAATAATTAAATAAAAGGACATATTAGGTATTTGATAAAAAATGGAGAGTAACATCGTCTGAAAAAATTCGTTATATTACTTTTATATATATTACAGATATAGATATATAATACAAATTCTTCGTACATTGAGCAGAATTTTGAACATTTTTTAAACGATGTTGTCAAAATATTTTATTTATTTATTTAGTTTTTTTAATACAAACAATAGAATTTGAAACTATGGAAGTTATTAATGCCTTTACTAATAATTTAGTGGGATAAATACATTTTTAATTGGTGAGATCTAAGAAATAGTTTTATTAATTTGATCCTTAAATTTGGAAATCATATAATTTAAGAACATGTGAGGTTGTCATAAGTGTTATCATATAACTCAAGGACCCGTGAGACTGTCAGAAGTGTTGAACTGAACAATAGGAAAACATATCTACCACATTTTTGTTTTTTAAGATTTTATAAAAGCAATAAATTGAATTTGTGTGGTCTACATTATTTTATTTATAAAATAAAAAATCTTCGGATATCCAGCCTAGAGATCTGCATATTTTATAAATGAATAAACTTTTGTTTTATTTATTTATTTTTATTCAAACAGTGGGAATTTGAACTTAATTTTTTTTTTTTTACTTTAAGTATAATATATAAGAGGAGAGATTCGTACTCACGACCTTTTAGTCGAAGATAAATGCCTTTAACTAATTAAGCTATGTTTAAACCGGCAAAACTAAAATTTGAAGGTAAAGAAGTTATTAATGCCTTAATGTTGGAGGCCATTTATCAGCCGCCACGTGTCAACGTCTGGAGTCATTAATGGTTGAAATGAGAAGACAACTTATTGAAGAGGATTCTACAAAGTTGAGTTTTCTTAGCTTGGTGTCTAGCTTTCGAGCTACCATATATTCTACATTTCGGCTGACCTACGATAGGTACGAGCCGTGGTTAAAGAGCAACCGAGGGAACATAGACGACATATATTTTTTCTACAAGACAGCACAGTTCTAGATTATTGGAAGCCCTGTCGGGAACTCATCTTTGTAAATAGAGTCTCTCACCTCTCATATAAGGCATGCGAAATATATTCTCTTCAATATAAGTCGAATTATATACTCATTAGAATGTTAGAGTGCGAACTCTGTTCTGTAGGTCTACTGAACTTCGATGCATACAGTCAGAACTTCGGGGATCCGAGGTGGATCATTTTCACAATCAAACACCTTACTAATAATTTCTTGAGATAAAATACATTTGGTGAGATTTAAGAAATAGTTTCATTAATTTAATCCTTAAAATTTCAAAATCGTATAATTCAAGTGCACATGGGCAGGTGGGTGTGACCGTGAGCGAATGGGAAACATGTGTGTTTATCATTAACTACCACATTTTTGTGTAGATCAAATAATAATAATAATAATATAAATAGCATTTTTGTTTTTTTAATATTTTTATAAAACGTATTGGAGATCTTTCTGTTTGTTATTTTGTTAGTCTACAAACCAAATCTTGTTTGTAACTATAATTATTCCGAGTTTTAATGAAGATTCTACAATAGGAATTTTTCCCTCATTGTGCTTCAAGTTTATGTGATATGGTATTAGAGTAAAATTTTTCTTTTTTTTTTTATTTTTTGCTTGATGTGATTTTCTTCTTTTGTGAAATTCATTGTCTCCCAATCGTCGAGTAATTGTTCTCCATGACATTTCAAAATACTGTTATTATGCTCCAATCTCATTTTTATGCCACGAAATTGGACACCACAACACCAGCGATAACACATGTTGTGCATTTTTTTCATCTATCTATACTGATTCCATTTTGTGGATAGTTGACTCGGGTGCGTCTAGTCACATATGTCATCAACGTGAACTTTTCACGGATTTAAGACCTACTTCTAATATTACTGTTGTGTTACCTATTCATTCTCGGATCGCTGTTGGTTTCATTGGCACCGTTTGATTATCATAAAATTTTATTCTTCATGACGTGCTCTTCATTCCTGAATTTACATATAACCTGCTTTCTGTGAGTGCTATACTTCAGCAAGGATATTTTTCAATTGAGTTTTCTGGTACTTCTTCATTCATGACAGGTTTTCGAAGATGATTGGCAAGACTAATTGTGTGAATGGACTCTATTCCTTACCGTCTTCACCAAATACTCTTGGTTCCAAGCAGATTACTAAATCACAAGAATTTTCAGCCTTGGTGTGTCCGACCACAACTGATATTTGGCATAAGCGTTTGGGGCATACTTCTTCTACTAGGCTTACCTTTACAGCTTTCTAATAATTCATCTTCTACTGTTTGTCATACATGCCCATTGGCTAAGTAGCATCACCTTTCATTTACTGCTAATAATCATGTTTCTGATGCTATTTTTGACTTGATATATTGTGATGTTTGGGGTCCTTTTAATACCCCTACTGCTGCTGGATATACATATTTCTTAACATTGGTCGATGATTGCTCTCGGTTTACTTGGGTATATCTCATGCGACAAAAATCTGATGCTCTAACTATAATACCTCGGCTTTTAAAGCTCATTGAAACACAGTTCTCCAAAGTGATTCAGTGTTTTCATTTTGATAATACCCCGGAGCTTCATTTTACTGAGTTTTTTTGCATCTAAAGGGACTTTACATCAGTTTTATTGTGTTAATCGACCACAACAAAAATTCTGTTGTCGAACGTAAGCATCAACATCTGCTCAATGTTGCTCGGGCTCTCTTTTTTCAATCCAGAGTCCCTTTATCTTTTTGGGGCGATTGTGTTCTTACTGCACCATATTTGATTAATCGCACTCCTATGTCATTGCTTGCTAATACATCTCCTTGTGCTGTTTTATTTGGCTGAGAATTTAATTATACTTCTATTCGGGTTTTTGGGTGCCTTGCTTATGCTTCCACATTACCTTTACACTGTACAAAATTTGATCTAATAGCTCGTCCATGCGTTTTTTTGGGTTATCCAGCTGGCATTAAAGACTACAGGTTATATGATATTACTAAGATACAGATATTTGTTTCCCGGGATGTCATCTTCTTTGAACATTTGCTTCCATTTCATACTTTGGATTCTACTGTTGAACCTGTTATTGCTGATTTTTTGTCCAATTTTGTCTTACCCACTGCATCATCAGACTTGCTTTCTAATGGTCCTTCATTGGGTGATCAGTTTTTTCCAGCAGATATTAACCCTTCTGATGGTGTTTTTCCCCGCCTATAGCTGATATGTTTTCTGAGTTACAGCCCAATATGCCTCCTGATATGCATAACGTGTTCAATGTTGCTCATCCTATGCCCATTGACACACGTGATGTGCCCTCTGTCGTGCCTTCTGATGTGAACAATACATCTGTTGCTATGCCTATTGATGTTGCTATGCCTACTGATGTGCCTATGGATGTTATGAACCAATCTACTGCACCATTATCTCATCTGCAATATGATTTTTTGACTGCACCAATTGATTCGTTTCATTCTGATCTACCAGATACATCTCTTTCTCACAGACCACAACGTACACGACGCCCTCCTTCATACTTGAAGGATTTTTACTGCAACCTTCTCAAAGAAGAGTCTTCTTCTGAATTCCCGGTTTTGCAATCTGGTGCTCCTTATTCGTTGAAGAATTTTGTGTCTTATAACAATCTTTCTTCTACTCATCGACGATATGTTCTTAATATCTCCACTGAATTTAACCAGTCTATTTTCATCAAGCTGTCAAATTTCCGCAATGGAGGAAGACCATGGATGATGAAATTGCTGCCATGGAGCGGATAAACACTTGGTCTGTTATTGTTATTCCTCTCCCTTCTGGTCAGCATGCGATTGGATGCAAATGGGTGTATCGTGTCAAATACAAAGCTGATGGTACTATGGATCGTTTCAAGGCAAGATTGGTGGCTAAAGACTACAATCAATAGGAAGGTATTGATTTTGTAGACACATTCTCTCCTGTTGCCAAGATTGTAACTGTCAAAGTTTTGTTAACATTGTCTGCATCTTATGGTTGACCTATTGTTAAAATTGATGTTAATAACGCTTTTCTGAATGAAGATTTATTTGAGGAAGTATATATGTCTTTACCTCTGGGGTATAAATCTTTTGTTTCTACATCAGGGAAGTCTTTTGTTTGCAAATTAAATTGATCAATTTATGGTTTAAAGCAAGCTTCTTGTCAATGGTTCACGGAGTTTTCTCATGGTTTCATCTAGTTTAAGGGTGACTATTCATTATTTACACGTGGTTGTGGTTCCTAATTCATTTCATTATTAATCTACGTTGACGATATCATCATAACTGATCCAACTCCACATGAGATTGAGTCAGTCAAGGCGATTCTTCGATCTCATTTTCAACTGAAGGACTTGGGATCTGTTAAATATTTCTTGGGTTTGGAACTTTCTCGTTCTCAGCATGGTATTTTTTTGTCCCAATGGAAGTATTGTCTACAAATTCTTGAAGATACCGATTTGTTTGGGAGCTCGATCTACTACTTTTCCTATGGATCCGAATCTTAAGCTCTCTAAGGATGCTAGAGAACCCCTTTCTGACAAGGAGGCTACTTCTTACCGACGATTCATTGGTCATTTGCTTTATTTACAAATATCCCGCCCAGATATTTCATTCTTAGTACATAGGTATAGTCAGTTTCTTCAACAGCCTTTTACTGGTCATTTGGCAGTTGTTCATCACCTCTCACGTTATCTTAGAAGGACTTTTGTTGATGCTGATTGGGGATCTTGCTTAGATACCTGCCGTTCTGTTACTGGCTTTTGCATCTTTATGAGTGACTCTTTGGTATCTTGGAAATCCAAGAAACAACCAACTGTTTCACGTTCTTCTGCCGAGGCTGAATACAGGGCTTTTGCTGGTGTAACCAATGAACTGGTCTGGCTCCGTCACTTACTTTCTGATTTGAATATTCATTTTTCTTCACCTACTGTTGTCTATTGTGACAACCAAACTGCTGTTTCTATTGCATCTAAACCTACATTTCATGAGCGCACAAAGCACATCGAAATCGATTGTCACTTTGTTCGTGATAAAATTAATGATGGATTTTTAAAGCTGCTACCTATTCATTCTAGTTCTCAACTTGCTGACATGTTTACCAAGGCATTACCTTCTACTACTTTACATTTTCTCATGTCCAAAATGGGTGTTTATGATATTTTACGCTCCATTTTGAGGTGGAGTATTGAAGATCTTTCTAATTTGTTATTTTGTTAGTCTGGTAGTTTAGTGGTTATAACAAACAAACCTTGTTTGTACTATATATATAAACTATAATTATTTTATACATATCAGAGAGTTTTAATGAAGATTCTACAATATGAATTTCTCTATCATTTTGCTTCTGAGTTGATGTGATAAAACGCAATAATTGAATTGTGTGGTTTAAAGTTCATTTATTTGTATATAGTACAAATTCTTCGGTATATAGAACATACAATTTTGCACACTTTTTAATGGATGAATTTGTGGCCAACTTGCCAAAATATTTTATTTAATTATTTTTTTGAATTCAAACGGAGGGAATTTGAATATAAGTAAACTATTAATGCCTTCTCTAATAATTTCTTTAGATAAATCATACAAACCTATCAGAATCATACAATTCAAGAACGTGGGGTTGTCGCGAAGACCATGGGAGGAAAAAAATTGCTTGGACCAAAAAATGTTTTTTTGTTAAAGAATATATATATATTTTATTGGGTGTAAAACGATGACCTTTAACAATTTTTTATCTTTTCATCTTTCAATATATTTATCTTCAAGACTCAAGTGTTCAGTTTTCTCGATATGTTGGCACTTCTATATATTTATGGATTTGACACCGACAAAATATATGAAATATCAATAAAATTTGGACGTAATTAATATAAATAATTTAAAACTTATTTTTAAAATGTGAAATATTTATTTGTTATCAACGGTTTGCTTTTGTAATTTTTTTTCTATAAATATCTATCACAACATTTTCCATAAAATTAAGATCTTGACATGTGATTGACATTGATATTTAAAATTTTGATGACAGGAATGTTATCATATTATCGCAAGTTTGAAAATTGTTCCCAAGGGACATATTTAGTTTTACTTTCTATATATATTTAAATCAATTTAATTAAAATAAATATAACTTGTGAAAAATAAAATCACGCTTGTAGTGTTCCCACCAAAAAGGTTAATATAAAATCATAACATGCATACTTTATTTATCAATAATAACGCTCACACGACTTTTAATTATTACCTAACATAACTATAGAAATAACTAAGTGGAATGATGCCAAAGCATGAAGATACTTGAGCCGTGAAAGTATAATATCTACCCGACAATTGATTCTTTATATTCAATAACGTCAATTATACTACAATCTTCAGATCGTTGGTGAACAATATTAACATCGTATTGAGAGAACTCTACCTTGCTCATTTCTGGCATTAAGCTCCATGAAAACCCTTGAAGCAACCTAGCAAATAGCATCATGGTGATGTTTGTGCCTAGTGTGCTATGCATGCAACCTCTCTTCGCTTTATGATAATCTCAAATTACCCATTGTCTTATTCTTGAGATGGCGTTCTGGATTGAATCGCATCGGATCCTCCCAAACTTTTCGGATTTCGGCCGAGACCAATTCGACTTAATAGGACTTGGCTACCTTTTGGGATAAAGTAGCCAGCTACAATGGTATCAGAATTTGAGACATGAGGGACATTGAACGGTGAAAATGGAGTCGAAAAGATTCTCTAACACAAACAATAAGATACTTAAGTTGTGGGATATAGATTCTTAAACAAGTCTATCTCTTCCAACAATCCTGTCTAGTTCTTCGATTACTTTTTGGAGAATTTTTGGTTGATTGAGTAACTTTACCATTGCCCATTCAACAACATTTGAAGGATTGTCAATTGTTGCCGTTGTAGCTCCTATTAGACAAATTATAAAATGAACATGGATTACAGGAGAAAAGCTTTCTTCTACCTCTTTCTCATTAAAAATGAAATGATCAATACAGAGAGGCTTATATATTTCTCAAGAAAGCTAAAAAACTCCTACGAACAATTTCTCTGTAATGATTCTCCAAAAACCAATAATTACAAAACTATTGTTAAACTAAAATTAACTGAGTCACCAAACTAATGTCATGTGTCAACCATCCGGAAACACTTTTAATGAGCTGTCTTAACACTATTATTATGAACGATGAGAAGGTTGAAGTTAAGTTGACATATGCATGCATATATAGAGCTAACAACTTATCTATCACATGAAATTTTACTGATAATTGTATTCGAAAAATACTTTAGTGCTAGCTTGTAGTAGACCACCAACAAATTAGACATATAAAACTTAATTAGGTGTTTATCGATAAGTAGACATCTTCTTACTTAGGTTCCAATGATAAAGAATCTATCTCTATCTTGATCACCACTGAAAATTTGACAGCTCATTACTTTTTTAAAAAAGTGTTCTGTTTTTGAATTACTTTTTCTGCGTTGTCAAGCATTTGATGATGGTCACCACTACTTAAGACCGGTCACCACTACTTAAGACCTAAAGTACTTTCTATTAAAAAGTTGATGAATAAGAGAGATTTAATGTATGAAGGAAAGAGAGAGAAAAATGGGAGTAAACTTTTCTTACCTAGCTATAGTAACCGCAAGTTTTATCCAATAAAAATTTGTCGATTTTACTGTTTTTTTTAAATACAAAATATATCCTTTTTTCCCTTTCTCTCTCTCTTCTGCATGTAAAAAAAGTTTAGTCGGTGAAAAATGAGTGTACCTAAATAAATATTATTCTTGTATGTGTGACAAGAATTCTCACCGTGATTTCAGCTTTAATCTCTTCGATCGATAGCAACGATTTTCCATTTTCATCTCTAAGCGAGATAAAGATATCAAGAAAATCTTGAATCTCTTTCCTATTCCCATCTTTCCGTTGTTGCACTCTCTCATCTACAATCGGTTCATCATGCTTTCTCACCATTTCCAAGCCTTCTTTTACAATCTTCTGACGTTTGTCGAGATCAAACAAGGTATCAAATCCGACACAGAAAAGGCACTGACATGCATAAGCAATGTTAGTAATGCTTGAAGGTGCTCTTCTTCTTCAAATGTTGGCCCTCTATCTTCCCGGCCGGTATCGTAGTATCTTCTATTGAATAGCATTCTTCTGACAACGTTGCCACAATAATGAAGCGTTATGCTTCTCAAGTTGACCACCGCACCACCTTCGGACTTGGTGAGGCTGAAAATGTAGCGTAGAACAGTGTCGGCTTCGTGGGTTCTATGAGCAAGCATTTGACGGAGGGTGGAGGGATTCAGTATTTGTGAAGTACTTTGCGCATCTTCTTCCATTGGTCTCCCAATGGCGAAAGTGCAGTAGTAAGGAATCCACGGATTATGATTTTGGAAGTGTGGAGTATTGGTCGTGATGCAAAGACAGAATCATGGATCTTTGAAATTCGAGGGCAAGTTGTGGAGAAGCCACTGGAATTACATAGGTATTCCCGAGACGAATTCATGCTATGTCAGTGTCGTATTGCTTCATTATTGCATGAATCCATTGGTGTGGTGGTGTGTTGTTCCTCCACATTGTTGGGAGGCAGCCGACGAGGGGCCACGGTGTCGGGCCAGGCGGGAGAGCGGCACAGCGGTGGACGGGGAGCTTGCTTTTCTGGTAGTATTGAAAAAAGATGAGAGAAATGAAAGCCATGAAAAGGGAGAAGATGAAGGTTTTGGTTATGGCTATTGCATAGTTTTGATATGTCAATTGAGAGATCAATAAGAAAGCTTGTATGGCCATGTCCGATATCTCTCTCTTTTATCTCTTGTACATGAGTGAGTGCATGAAGGGATAGGAATCAGAATGTCTGTAATAATAGTGAGAATTGAAGAGGGAGAATAAGGTTATGGTTATAATGCAAAAAGTGTTCTAAATCAAAGCCAAAGTGTTGGACTTGTCTCCGCTTATCTTTTTAATTTCTTAAGGAACAATAGAAAACACCTGCACATATATAGTTTGCCAACTAGGCTAAGAACATATGGTT